TTTTTTAAAAACATTGAATAATAAAAACAACAAAATTTGTCTTAATTTATATTATTGGTGACCCAACTCTCAGGTCACCCAGATAAAGACCAAAAAAAAAAACGAAAGGCCATCAATATTGCGCGACCCAGGTCACAATGTGACTTTGGTTCGCGACCCGGTTGTGACTTGGCTTGTCCCGTATTTTTTATAACAAATACTAAAATTCGTATTTATCTTATTCTCCATAAATGGATATCACATTTGATAGGTTTTGGAACACGACTGAAATTTATAAATAAATAAAAATAAAATGAATACGTTGGGTTGGGTTGTGGATAAAGATAATTTGAGTTGAAGGGTTGGGTTGTGTAAGTGGAGGAGAAAGAAATAATTATTTTTTATTAAGTTGGGTTGGGTTGAATCATTGATAAAAATGATCTAAATATATATTTTTTAGAAAAATAAATTATTATTTATATTTAAAATGACAACGTCACTTACACAATTTACCATCTTATATTATATATATTTTTTTAATTTATAAGACAACTACTTTGTAGTTAAGTTAATTTAAATAACTTTATTGTTTTGAATTAATTTTAATAGGTAATTTAATTTATAAAGGTAAAAATTGTTTTATTTATTTTGATATATAATATATGTTGACGATCGAAAATCGGTCAATGTTTAAATCCAGAATTAGGATTGACAAGTATGAAAACATAAATGATTTACGAGGAAATTAGCTTTAGTGATTTATTGGAAGGATTGGCCTCCGAAGATGAGGTCGGCTTTTCGCTCACATTTTGTTAATTACAACATCTAATTATAGGGTAGAGAGAGAAAGAGTTGGTAGATTTTTCCACCAACCCCCATTAAACGAGGGAGTTGCCTGTTTATACTGTCACAAATTGAGTACTACTCATTCACTATTCATCCCGTCACTTCATATAATAACTAGGTATGACAAATTGATACCGTTCTGACATGCATTAAATGAGATTTGCGGTTAAACTAATGATTGTATGCCAAACATATGCACACGTGGGATACATTTAATGCCGACAGGTAGCCCAACGGTCCTATGTTCAGTAGGATGCAGACTAGGGTGGTTAGTCTCATTGACAATCATCACTCGACAAGTAACAATATTTTATTATTCTCAGGCCTTCGATGTGCGTCTAGATCTGACCTTATCGGCTCTTCAGATCCAACTTTCTCCGCAACTTCAGTTATCTTCATCTTCTGATCTTCTAGGTCTTCTTTTTGTATTATGCAGTTATGAAGGTCGACCTCGTATTCCTGGTATCATGGTGTCGGCCTAAGAATATGTTCTAGTCATTGTTCTCAGTAACTTCGTTATTTGTCGACCTGCCCTCATGTGCCAACCTGATTTAGGGGTTGTCATAAGCTCGCTGGTGCTTTCTATCCTTGGGTCCCTCGGGGTCCAACTCGGATGTCAACAATATAGACTTGATTAATTTGATATATTATATATAAAATATTGGTAATAAATAAAAAAAAAAAAATTGACTTCTAAATAAATGTATAATTTAAGTTAATAAATTTGTTATAATTTTAAAAAATATGAGAAAAAAAAATATTGGGAAAAAAATATACCTTATAAACAATATCTTCAATAAGAAATGATATTAAACTATAATTAATGTTCTTGAAAATGACCATAAATACTCAACGTATGTATGGATATTCCAAGTCTCTTATGGATTGAAAATAAATTAAAAATCATCCAAGTAAAATAACAAAATTTATAAATTTGGCACATATATAATTACAAAACATGCATAAAAGGGAATTTAAGGAGTGAAAATAGCTTCACAAGGCATGTTAGAAAATTCCACAACTATGAATGAAGATAAATATAAATAACATGATAAAAAAAAAAAAATCCAAAAATGAAGAAAATGGAGAAGTCGGTCCAGGTGGAGAACGCGCAAGAACCTGACATCGTAACCCGTCTCCGTTCGTTTCACAGCTCAGCACATCCATTTTTATTCTATCTTTATTTATTTATTTATAAACTAAAACACACCAAACCAAACACGCGCACGACGCATTCCGCTTTCTTCACAACATTCGCCCCAAAATACCAATCATTTAATTCAACAGCTAACGCGCTTGTCAGTTTCTTCCCGAAACCAAAATTTGTCCAGCAATGGTGAGACTGATCGGCCCCGCAAAAGCGAAGGCGACTGTGCTGGAGGATCTGATAGAGAGCGCCGGCGGCTGCGCCATCGTGGACGGGGGTTTCGCCACCCAGCTCGAGAAACACGGCACCTCCATTAATGATCCTCTGTGGAGCGCGCTTTGTCTTATCAAAGACCCTCATCTAATTAACAGGGTATGTCTACACAAATTTTCCGGTTTTTTTTTTTTTTCCTTTTTTCAGTTTTGGTTTTTCTTTCGGGACTTTTAACAAACAGATGGATGACTGCAGGTTCATTTGGAGTATTTGGAAGCAGGTGCCGATGTTATAGTAACGTCGTCGTATCAGGTTGCTGAATTTTTCTGCTGCTATTACACATTGTTTTTCTAGTTTTATTTGCTGATTTATGTGGATTTGGGAATTTCAATTTTTCATGTTAATTGTTGTGTAACTGCAGTTAAAAAAACATGATATTATGGATCACATACTTAAATAATGCATTATTTATTATTATTATTATTTTCTGTTTAGTTCTTGCTAGGTCCAATTAAGGTAATTATGGGACACATGATAGGAATCATTTGTAATGCTTATGTTAAAAATAACTAAATAAATTAATTAAAAGGAAAAATGGTGTCTTTGCTTTTTTAAAATAATTCTTATAATTATCATAATTATCCAAAATCTGGTGGCTTAATGACACTTATGTGAAGCCTAGAGATTAGATATTGAATCTGTTCATATTTCAATAGTTGGAGTACAAAGTTATGAAAGGAGTTTCATGTCAAGGTTTTTACTTGAAAAAAAACAGGCTACTATACCAGGATTTGTATCCAGGGGATTGTCTACAGAGGAAGCAGAGTCATTGCTTACTAAAAGTGTGAAAATTGCCACCGAGGCCCGAGACAAGTTTTGGGCCTCGGTAAAGCGGAGATCTGTAGGTAAGTACAACCGGGCTCTGGTTGCCGCCTCTATTGGGAGCTACGGCGCCTATCTTGCTGATGGTTCTGAGTACAGGTCTGTAAAAGTTTGTTTGAATTGATCATTTTAGATTTATGTAGTTTCTTTCTCCTACAAGCTGATTGAAGGCAAATGCAGTAGATTGAGTGTCTGGGGTATTATTTTTGTCACTACTAATTTCTAACAACATTAAATTATTGTGTTTTCCTTCTCCTTTCGGGTTTTCAGTGGGAACTATGGTCCAAAAGTAACTTTGGAGAAATTAAAGGATTTTCATAGGAGGAGGCTTCAAGTTCTTGTGAAAGCAGGCCCAGATTTGCTTGCTTTTGAGACCATTCCTAACAAATTAGAAGCTCAGGTATGCTTGTGGGATCATTCTTTTGCTGTGTAGGCTGTGTTTGGGTGGAAAGTATTCGGATTTTGTTGGAGGATTTGGTAATGGGTTTCAGGCCCTTGAAGGCTTGAATCATTTGCATATACTGAAGGATTGTGTAAACATATGGAGGCTTATACCAGATAATTACTTCCAAATTCTTTCAATGAATTATTTATTAATTGTTAATTGAAATGAAAATTTTACTCGTTATGTTAGTTGAGTTGGATGAATATTGTTGATTTCCCTAGTTTCATGCACCTTCTTATGTTGGAATGTGATTGACAGGCTTGTGTTGAGTTGCTCGACGAAGAAAATGTCGAGATACCATCTTGGATTTGCTTTAGCTCTGTGGACGGTGAAAATGCTCCTTCAGGTGAAAGCTTTGCGGAATGCCTCGAAGTAATCAACAAGAGCAGTATAGTACGTGCGGTTGGAATAAATTGTGCCCCGCCCCATTTTATCCTAAGCCTAATCCACAGATTCAAAGAGGTGAACTTTTTATAATCGAAAACTCGTTTAAATGTTCATGTTTCAAATTATTTTCCACATTCGTACGATTTTTTTAAACGAAACTGTTAATTGTGCAGTTGACTAGTAAAGCAATTGTTGTGTACCCCAATAGTGGAGAGATATGGGATGGGGTTGCTAAAAGATGGCTGGTGAGTAATTTTTCTTGAATTAGCTTGGTTAAAATGAAGGAAACACAATTTTGGGCAAAACTTTAAATAAATCTTGATTTTGCTTTTAGCCATCAAAATGTTTTGATGACGACAAATTCGAGATATTTGCGGGAAAATGGAGGGATGCCGGAGCCCAAATCATTGGTGGTTGCTGCCGGACAACGCCATCTACAATTCAGGGGATTTCTGAAGTTCTGAAGGAAGGAAAGTGGTTTTTAGAATGAGGCTATAGGCTAATTGGCACCGTTGCACATTCAGTGGTTTGGCCTTTCTTTAATCTGTATTGTTTATTTCGTTTGTTCATTTGTAAACAATTTTCCCTATTTAGTGATTTTGAAACAAAGGTCAAAGAAGCCATATCTATGGACTTTGGTCTCTGTAGAAGCAGAAGATTTACATGTTACATCGACTTACACTTGGTATTTAAGTTTCGTAACTCCCTTTTACAAAGACAGAGATGACTTCCATTTGAAAAACAGTGACAAATTTCAGACGTATTTACAATTTTGGATTTCTGTAGTTTTGATTAAATTTGTCCAAATCTACTGGTTCTGAACAAAAAAACCCCTTAACTATCAAGGGACAAGAATTGTGTAACATAGTTTAGGGAATGCGTAAGTGTAAATAGTTGTAGGACCTCAATCTCTATTCATAGTTAATAATCTTGATGAAGAGAAATTTAGAGAAAAATATATATATTACTTGGAATAGCTCAGTGAACCGGCCTGAGTGGTTAGTTCGAGCATGGCCGGTTCAATGGAGTTTTAGCTCGATATCAGCGTTTGACCTCGTCAAGGAACTCGCTTAGGCAGCTCAGGGTACAGGTCGACCTGACAAGAAGACCTAGGGGTTGAGCTCCTCTATAAGCTCGAACAAATGAAGGGTTGTTACGACCTGGAGGTCTTATATGTAAAGGTCGGGCATTTCACCCAGTAAGAGCCTATGGCAACTGGGTCGTGATGTCGCTATGACGATCTAGGGACATGAGAGGCGTATGGTAAGAGGGGACAGAGTCCTGCGAAGGATGGTAAATGTATCTCGCTAAGGAATTTGAGAATTAAGAGACATGTTAAGCTAGAAAATAAGATATGGCAAGATCTATTTCCTAGTAAGGGTTCTTCTTGGGCAAAAGATGAACCGATATATATAGGAGTTACCAGGTTCTGTTTTACATATTATTATTATGTTTGGAATACAATTTTCTAATATTCTCACGAGCGAGTACTGACTATGCATATAAAATGTATAAAAACTATATATTAACTAAACTGGTTCGACCACTGGTCCGACCAATGAACTATTGAACCGGTAGCCTTACCGGTTCAATGATCGGTTCGGTTTTAAAAACAATGGTAAAAGTTCATCTTTTGATGCCACTTCTTGAAATAATGTTCGTTGATTTTTTTGGGTTTTTCAACAGTTGGTATATGGACAACAAGTATGAGATGAGGATGAGAAACAACGTTGTTGATCGGTTGTTGAGGTTGCTCAGTATATTGAGCATTCGAACCATATCTAGTGGATGGCATCAGTTCAGTAGGTAGACGATATTTGTCTTGCGATTGTTACAATATATGTGTCGACTAACAACGAAAAATCTATTGAATTGAAGATAATATTTTCAACCCTTACATTATAACCTAAAAACTGAAAAATTACAATATATGTGTCGAGTTACAATGCGAAATCTATTAAACTGAAAATAATATTTGATATCTGTCTTGCGATTGTTATAATATTTGTGCCAAAATAACGAAAAATCTACTGAACTGAAAAATAACCTTTTCAATCCTCCTTATAATATAAACTAAAACTTGAAAATTCTAATAAAAATTACAGTAGATTTACAACGGAAAATCTAATGAACTGAAAATAATCTTTTCAGTCCTTACAATATAAATTAAAAACTGAAAGTTAGAATAATCTTTTCAATCCTTACAATATAAAAAAAAATGAAAATTGCAATAAATATTTTCAACCCTTACAATATAAACTAAAAACTGAAAAATTACAATAATATTTTCAGTCCTTACAATACTAAAAACTGAAAATTACAATAAAAACTACAATAGGAAGAGAATAACTGAAATTACAATAAAAACTACAATAGTAAGAGAATAGTCGCGCGCCCTCTTGTGGTTGAATCCAACATCAACACATAGTTTATGGTTTTGTTGTTGTTGACCGAACTTTATTTATTGTAATAAAGAGAGTTGTAGTTCTCCATTAAAAGGTGAATGTTGGATCTAACAATCATTAACGTTTTACGTACCCAGACTAATTTTAAATATTTATTTCTCACTCACCGAAAATCACTTAAAAAATATAAATGTACCACAAATATATAACGTAAATTGTTTTCACATAATTTAATTCAACTCAAATTAAATATTTAACGATAAAAAAAAAAAAATCAATCAAAAGTGAATCAAGTTCAATTATAATTAACTCGTTTTCTAACATATCTTACGAGCTGAAAAGTGAACATTCTTCTAGAATGGATATCTATTCAAAATTATGCTATATCAACTGTAAATTTTAATTTTGTAAAGTGAAAATGCTCAGTTATTAATAAAGAAGAAAGGTGGATCGTCCAACTTTAGGATTTTTATTTCTTTTTTGAAAAATGCCTAGATGTACATAATAGATGTACATAAAGGTGTATATAACACTCACATGGAGTAGGGTCCACTTGATTTTGTATTTTTAGTGGGTCCCACTCAATGTGAATATGATGTATATCTTTATGTACACTATTATGTACTTGTAGCATTACTCTTCTTTTTTTACTAGTATTAATACCCACGTACAACACTGGAAGTCGATCCCACCGAACAAAGACCAACCAATAAGCATCATGGTTTTGCCGTCACTAATTACGATTAGCGTACATCATTGTTCGATCATCAGCTATGTGGCGACCTGCGTAAGCCAGAGAATTAAGCACACTAATATAATCGAGATTAGTCAAAATTAACAATAAAAAAGCCACAAAGATATCCCAATTAATTGCAAATTAATTTATATATGAATTAATGAATATGTTATTTTTAATTTATTTTTTTTTGTTTTTTTTTTTTTGAAGGTCTTGGTGCTAAGATCCAGAATCATGGCTACGAATTGATATAAAGTGAAAGGAACCTTCATTAAATCATTAAAAAAACATAAATTGTGAACTTTTAAAATCGTCACGCGTGACGCCATGGACCTAAATTTTAATATTTTTGCCTTTTTTTATTTTATTTTAACTATTTGTAAGAATATTTTTTTTTAACAAAAACGACAGATATTCTCATTAACAAAACACAAAGCAAGTTATTATGTACATTCGAAACAACTCCGAAAGCCGACAACGGGATCACCACACATAGGTGGCCTAAACAATCACCAAAACAAATACAGGAAGAATCAAAGCAGCATAAACTCTAGGCTGAACCTTTGACCTTCTAAACTAAGGATCAGAAAATAAACTAACACTAGAGCTGACACCACTGCTACACAGGCCTAGCATCATACTGCTAATGCATACCCCAAGTACTATATAGCTATGTATGCAGACTTGCTAACCCAAATTATCAAGATACTCCTTCCAGTCTTGAAAGGCTGCCTTCACATTTTGTGGAGCAGTTCTTCTGACATTCTCGAAAAGCCGTAAATTTCGAGATTTCCAAAGCCACCATGATATATACGTTGACATTTGAATTCTAGCCTCGGAAATCTCTCCTTTTTTTTACCTGACAGATGTCCCACCACCAGTGCTGAAAAGTGTCATGATCCTTGGGTTGCTTCCATTGGACAGGAGCCATTTTCCATACATGCATAGCAATAGGACAATGAAAGAATACATGCATAATTGTCTCCTCAGCCTCCCCACACCCTTTGCACACCACATCGACATCTAAGCCTTTATGCAGCAGATTTTGTTTTACAGGAAGGATACCATTCCAACATTTCCAAATAAAATGTTTTATTTTCCCCTTCACCTTCAAGTTTCAACTCTTGTTTCTTACACAAATGTCCCTAGCATATGCTGAGCTAGATTGAGCTATATCCATCTTATGGACTTTTGCTTCAATCAGATGAGCATATGCAGACTTTACAGAGAATTTACCTTTCTTGTCTATGGCCCATACCCATCTGTCATTTAAATCCGGGTTAATTTTGATCCCCTGCAAAATAGCATCACTTTGCTCCTCATGGAATGTTTGTCTGACTTTTAGTTCATCCGAGTGTGTACCTGTTTCATTCATCAGATCTTTGACCCACACCAAAGAGCCATCTCTGTCTGTCCTCAGCTAAACTTCTCTGCCACAGTTATCAGGGATCCAGTGCTTGTCTGAAATTTTAGTGTCTTTGCCATTGTTGATTTGAATCTTCAACCATTTACCACTGGCTTCTAGAACAGCCAACCAAGAATTTCACAGCCATGATAAGAATAAAGATTAAGATTAAAGCGAATAATATGAGCTTTTCTGTCCCTTCATGATCATGTCCAAAAATATTTTAGTGTATATAATATTTTTTGTCTGATTAGGAGATGCTACAGTCTCGTTACGTAATCATTCCGTCGAGGTTTCTAATCGTTAGATCATCATGTAAAAGTGTGCTGTTGAGGGGATTCGAACCTAGGTCCAATGGGGAACAAAAGGAGCTCATGAACCACTTGAGCTAGCACCAATTATGTTAAGTATTTAACTTCAATTATATATCTACCAACATCTTTTTATCTAATATATATATATATAAT